TTTTTTCATATACTGTGTTTTTGGATGATAACACTCCCCCACCCCCAAAAAGTGGGTGGAAATGTGTGTCTTATACAGCGAATATTACAACGGGGAGGGGGGTTGGTGCGGCACTGATCAACTGTTCCAGGTGGCAGGGATTCCCGCCATCGCCTATCGCCACCCGTTCACTGCCGATTGGCAGCAAACGGGCGGCAGTGAATGGGCTGCGGCGGCAGCAAACAGGCTGCATCAAACGGGTCGCCGCAGTGGCAAACACGCTGCAGCGAATGGGCTGCAGCAAACGGACCACCGCCGTGGCCAACGGGCCAGATGAATACCAGATGGATGCTGAGAGGCAGAGGCAAAAAAAAATTTCTCGTTTTTCTCCCCAAAAGCTAGGTGTGTCCAGAGCATCTTATAGTCCGAAAAATACGGTAATTTTTCTCGTGGAAAAACAACTCATTTTTCATTTAACATGTTTATAAATCATGAACTGCAAGTAGAATATAATAAAATCGTGAAATGGAAATGTATCATTTAATGCATAATACATATAGTTCAGTGCCTCTACTGACACACAAGTTTAAGAGATATTCTGAACAACTTACTGGAAAAGGCTAAGCTCCTTGAAGATGGAAAGTGAAAAATATCCAACTGCATGGGCTAATTATGATAGATTTTAAAAAAAACCACAATTGCCATTGCAGATACTGGGATTAAGGTCATTTGTCCTTGGGGTACGAGAGATGGGAAAAGAGAAGGTTTGCAAACATTTTGCTTATTTTTTGGTATCTCGCCTTAATTATTTTTACAAATAATCAAGGTAGCAAACATATCCAACACATTTTCCTCCACCTATTTTCTCCACAGCAACCTTGTGAGGTGAGTTGGGCTGAGAGGAACTGGCCCAAGGTCACCCTATTGGCTTTCATAGCTAAGGTGGGACTTGAACTCACGGACTCCTGCCTTCCAGCCTGGTGCCTTAATCACAAGCTGCCTACAGTCACCTCGGAGGGATGGGCAGCATACAGGTTTGATTGATAAATAAAAGGAAAAATAAAATAAAATAAACCACTAGGCCAAAATAGTTCTATGAAACCCAACTCAAAAAATTACTTGGGCATTACTTTCATTCCACCAGAGCTACCAACTTCATCTAAGCTGAAGGAGGCGGGAGGGAATCACCTGAAAAAATGATATCACGTGCCCGGTACAGTTGCAAGTCATCGAGTATCTGAATTAAATCATCAACGTAGGCGTTGCGATTCATCCAGGTCCACATAAGGTTGTGCGTCCGCCCATCCATCTTCTCATACAGTCGCAATTCAACCTGGTTTCGTACAATCCTGGAAGCTAGTGTGTAAGAGAGATAGGCCTGTTATCAACCACAGATTTACTATCAAGGGTGTAACCTCACAATTAGCCTCATATATAACAGGCTTGACTATTGTGCTAGAGCAGTGTTTCTCAACCTTGGCAACTTGAAGATGTCTGGACTTNCTCTCTCTCTATCTATCTACTATATTTCTCTCTTTCTCTCTCTTTCTATTTCTCTCTCTCTTTTTCTATTTCTATCTCTCCCTACCTACCTACTATATTTCTTTCTCTCTCTCTCTCCCCTTTATCTACCTACCTGCCTGCCTACCTAACTACTCTCTCTCCCTACCTACCTACTATATTTCTCTCTCTCTCTCTCTTTCTCTCTCTCTCCATCTACCTACCTGCCTACCTAACTACTCTCTCCCTCTCCCTACCTACTTATTGTATTTCTCTCTCTTTCTCTCCTTCTCAATTCCTCTGTCTACCTACCTCCTTTTTTTTAATTTGCCTCTTCAAAACCTTGGTGCATCTTATACTCTGAAAAATACGGTAAGTGAAATTCAGCTTCCTCAGAAACACTTTATCACTTATGTGGATTATTGCAACAACAATTGGGAAGCCTACATTTTTCAGAAATGATTTGACAAATTCCTTGACTTTTACAAAGGCTCTCTCTACAATGAGTAAAAATACTGAATCATAGACAGAGTCTTCCTACATTATCTTTTAAAGACAGAACTGGATAATCAGGCTTCTCGCACTAGTTAAAATGTGCACGAGATGGGTAGGAAGTTGAAAGACACAGTAATAGCAAACAAAAAGTGATACATTTTTTACAAAAGTGATAATTCAAACATGTACATTAGCAATTTTTCACCATATTTTGAAAATTACAATTTCTACGTAATAAAATAAGGTAGTCTTGAAAGCAACAAGATAGTTTTATTTATTAATCTCTTATTTTCATCTGTAGTTTATTTTACCTTCCATAGGGTAGTTCAGTAATCCAGCCAACACCAAATCCCAAATGATATAAAACAATTAAAGCCCAGTTAATTTTAGCAATTAAAATGCAAATATCTCAAGCACTAAAGACCTCACTAAAAGTGAGGTCGCTCCTGGGGCTATGCAGTGCTCCAAGTTTCCAAAAAGTGACTTGGAAAGTATGGAGGCTCACCTGTCACACCTATCAACATTCCTTAAATCAGAAGTGTATTTTCCTACAGATTCTTTGAGGAGTTGCCAACAGATACCATATGAGAGCACTTGAATGCTCTAAATCACTTTTCCTCATTTGAATCTGGATCACTGTGTAACCCTAGTCTTTACTCCCTTGTAAAAGACAGAGACTGTAAAGGCTAAAGTACTTATGGGAACACCTGGAGGAGTCCATATATCTCCATTTTGAGAGCTGCACTGGTTTCCAGGTGCAATTCAAGGCATTAGTTGTTAATTTTAAAGCTTTGCATGATTCAAGGCTTGGATGTCTATGGGACAAATTTCTCATCTGCCTTGTAAGAGATAGTGTAGCAGGTTCCTTATGCTGTTCACTTAATTACAGACACCACCTAGAAGGGGCCACGGAACACACTTTTTTATTTGCTACAACCTGCTCTGAAATAGCATTCAGACAGTCCCCTTTCTCCTGCTGTTCAGGATCTTCTGTTCTTCAGAAAGATGGTGAAGAACAAACTATTCTATCAAGCCTTAAGGTCATTGTGACAATTCCTCTGGATTAGCAAGCATTGTAGTTGTGTTTTTGGAATGTGAATGTTTGACAGTGCACAGAATTGTTCACAGTCCGTGCTTTTGGTTTTGATTTATTATGTGTTATTTTAACCCAAATTAAGGATTTGGGGAGTTCTATACCGCTGAGAGTTGGTTCATTGGAGTGGCCTATAAAGCAAGAGAGCAGACGAACAAACGAATGAATATAGCTACCAAGAAGTGCATTCCAAAACTTGGGAACAAGGCAAAGAATTAACTTGTAAATGCGACTCCGCATTTGATAATGTAAATGAGGAAACTCCAAAGTTCAAACATCATTATTACAAAGGGAAAAAATTTGTGTCGAGGAGAGCCAGGTATTTAGCTCCTTCTGGGCCGAAGACTGAGGTTAATCTGGAGAGTCAGAGGAGGGGTAGAGGTGCGGCCTCAAGATTTACCTTAGTCTCCGGGCAGATGGGCGGTGACAATACCCAGCTGTGACTCCTCCCACACCCCACTTCAGAGACAGAGAGACTTATTAACAGCCACTTGTTTGGAACAAACATGAAATGAACAAACTGTGAAAAAGTCTGCAAAGAATTCTGGTACGGATGAGCTTATGTTCCCTCCTGGCTCACTCCTGCTCTGTGTTACTCTGCTGACGGATAAGAGTCCCAAACACCTTTACTTTATTTCTTTCCAACATTCTGATGGGTTGGAAAGTTATACAACCCTATTAGGCAAATCACTCCAGGCAATTCAAAAGAGCAAATGCGAAGATAAAAAACCCAGAAATTGTAAATACATACCTAAGCAAATATAATCAAAAGTAAATATATTTACATTTCAGATTCCCTCAAGAACAGAAGCTATTAAATGTTTTACGCGGTGTAAACCTGAGCCACAACAATAAAACCTCATATAAAATCTGTTCAGGTGCAGGTGGAGTGGAGTTATTCTCTCAAGAGATGTAGGGCATCAATCAAGAACCCAGAGCAGGAAAGGGAGGGGCGCTATGGTTGAGACCTTATAACATTGTTCAGAGCTGCTGTTCTATAAAACGGAGTTGCAAAGCTTCCTTGTTAGTATGTGCTCTAACAGTTGAGCTGTTGCTTGTCTAACAGCCACCCTGCCGCATAAGACACTTTATCAAAATAGCTTTACCATGCTTTTCTAATAAAAATGCTAAATGTGCCAAACCAGTTGGGATGCAATGCCAGGAGAAATAAAGCTGAAAAAGTGAGGGCGTTTTTACTTCTTTATACTTGTGCACCAAGGTACACCCACGTTACACCTATCCTCCGCGAGCTGCACTGGCTCCCTATTAGTCTCCGAATCCGCTTCAAGGT